GTTTGCCTCTCTAGTTCCGTACCACTCCATACAGTCACATACTCAACACCTGAAACATGGCCAGTGCCCCAGGCTAAAATGTGATTTTAATATAGTTTTAAATACAGGTTAAATATATTACTGAAATTAATTTCATCTATTTTTTCTTTTTGAGACCAGTCTTGCTGTGTTGCCCAGACTGGAGTGCAGTGGCGGGATCTCAGCTCACTGCAACCTCCGACTCCTGGGTTGAAGCAGATTCTCCTGCCTCAGCCTCCCAAGCAGCTGGGACTACAGGCGCCCACCACCACTCCCAGCTAATTTTTGTATTTTAGAAGACACAGGGTTTCTTCACTATGTTGGCCAGGCTGGTCTTGAACTCCTGGCCTCGTGATCCACCTGCCTCGGCCTCCCAAAGTGCGGGGTACAGGCTTTAGCCACCATGCCCAGCCTCCTTTTTTAGGTTTTTTTTTTTTTTTTTTTTTTGAGACGGAGTTTTGATCATTACCCAGGCTGGAGTGCAATGGCGCGATCTCGGCTCACCGCAACCTCCGCCTCCTGGGTTCAGGCAATTCTCCTGCCTCAGCCTCCTGAGTAGCTGGGATTACAGGCACGAGCCACCATGCCCAGCTAATTTTTTGTATTTTTCGTAGAGACAGGGTTTCACCATGTGGACCGGGATGGTCTCGATCTCTCGACCTCGTGATCCACCCGCCTCGGCCTCCCAAAGTGCTGAGATTACAGGCTTGAGCCACCGCACCCGGCCCTCCTTTTTTTCTTTTTTGAGATGCAGTGTTGCTCTGTTGCTCAGGCTGGAGTGCGGTGGTACAATCTTGGCTCACTGCAACCTTTGCCTCCTGGGTTCAAGCAATTCTCATGCCTCAGCCTCCTGAGTAGCTGGAATTACAGGCATGCCATCATGCCTGGCTAATTTTTGTATTTTTAGTAGAGACAGGATTTTGCCATGTTGGCCAGGCTGGTCTTGACCTCAAGTGATCCACCCACCTCAGCCTCCCAAAGTGCTGGGATTACAGGTATGAGCTACTGCACCCTGCCATTTTTTTTTTTTTTTTTTTTTTGAGATGGAGTCTGGCTCTGTCAGCCAGGCTGCAGTGCAGTAGTGCAATCATAGCTCATTGTGGCCTCCAACTCCTGGGTTCAAGCGATCCTCCTAAATAGTTGGGACTACAGGTGTGAGCCACCGGGCTCAACCTAATAACACATTATTTGCCAGAAATGGCGTGCACAACAGCCAGGACACTGGGACTTGGCCTTCATAGTTTGAGATCTTGTCGATCACTTATAAAGTATGTGACCTTTTGAGGAAGTTACATGAGCTCCTCCATTTATCTACAAAATAAGGATAACCCAGCCCGGGGCAGTGGTCCATGCCTGTAACCCCAGCACTCTGCGAGGTCAACGTGGGTACATCGTTTGAAGTCAGGAGTTCAAGCCAGCCTGGCCAACAATGGTGGCAAAATCCTGTCTCCAGGAAAAACAAAAATCGGCTGGGTATGGTGGTACACCCTGTAATCCCAGCAACTCAGGAGGATGAGGCAGGAGAATAATTTTAACCTGGGAGGCAGAGGTTGCAGTGAGCCCAGATGGTGTCATTGCACTCCATCCTGGGTGACAGAGCCAGACTCCATCTCAAAAAAAAAAAAAAAAAAGGTAACTCTACATTTTTTTTCTTTCTTTCTTTCTTTTTTTTGAGACAGAGCCTCATTCTGTTGCCCAGGCTGGAGTGCAGTGGTGCAATCTCGGCTCACTGCAACCTCCACCTCCCACGTGCAAGCGATTCTCATGCCTCAGGCTCCCAAGTAACTGGGACTACAGGCTTGCACCCCCACGCCTGGCTAATTTTTGTATTTTTAGTAGAGACAGTGTTTCACCATGTTGGCCAAGCTGCTCTTAAACTCCTGGCTTCAAGTGATCCCCTGGCCTTGGCCTCCCAAAGTGCTGGGATTACAGATGTGAGCCACAGCACGCAGCCCCTGCATTTTCCTAGAGATGTTATGAACAGTCAGTTAACTAAAATACAAACAGCCTCTTTCAGGCACCTAGGAATGGTTTAGTCTTCCTTCGTGCTCTTATTTGCAAAAACCAGTTAACAAATGATTATGAACTTTTCTATAGAACTTATTATGTGCCAGAATCAAGTCATTTACTCATCGCAGCAACCTCCTGAACCCTGACAAAATAGAACACTGAGGCACAAGAGGGGAAGACAGGATTTGAACCTAATCAGTAGGGATCCAGAGTTCTGTCTCCCTATCCCCTAGAGAATGTCACTTCTCAGATTTCAATCTTACACAGCGTTACATCAGGGGAAACCATCATCATCCCCCTCTGACAAATAGAGAAACGGAGGCTGTAGAAATTAAGCACTTTCCCAAAGGCACAAGCCCAGTCATTTGACTCCTGAAATCCCGCTCTTCATCTCTCTGCCACTCAGTTCAGCATTACAGCCCCCGTTCACCTGGGCGCGGTGGCGAAAACATCGGGGTGCAGGTCGGCCAGGCCCACGCGCTCCTGCTCGAAGCCCCGCAGGGACTCGACCCAGGCCTGCACCGGGCGTCGAAAAGCGGGTACCGGGAACTCGACTTTGCGCAGCACGGGCTCCGGGAGACCTGGAGCGATTGCGGGGGTCAGGGGTTAGGGTCAAGGGGCAGACCTCTCCGTCGCCGCCCCTCCTGGGGCGACCCCGGCTGCCTCACCCTCGCTCGCCACTTGCTCCGGCTTCTCGGTCGGAGGCGCTGCCCCTTCCGCCAGCGAATTCAGGGCCTGCAAAGCGTGGGCGAAAGTGAGAGACGACCCCTGGACACCCCCACATTTCATCCTTCGACCACACCTCCAGCCCCTGGCCTCACCCTGCAGCCCGTAGGGCGAAGCCAGGCCCGCGCCCCAGCCCGGACCAACTGCAGCATCGCCGCGAAGCCTCCCACGCTACGGGAGGTCAAGGCCACTGGAGTCGCGCGTGGCGCCGCCGGATGACGTCACGCACGCGACGCCGCTTGACCCACTGCGACTCCACGCTGGAAAGCGAGGTGTGCAAAACCGGGTGGGGGGATCCGACGTAGAGTGGCCCAACCTCCGCCCCAGGACTAATCCCCAGGCCCCAATTTTCACTCCTGGCTTAAGGACCCTCTGCAACACTGGGTAACGCGACCTCACAGCAAGAAGCTCCAGCTTCCGTAGGCCTCTCCTACTTTGGGTCCCGCCCCCGGCGAGCTCAGCCAATGAGACTTCTCCAGCCCAATTCAGCCAGTGAGTGTTAACACTGAAGGAGTGTCCCCGCCCATAACTGGGCAGTTCTGGGGCGAGCAACTAAGGAATACAGCCAATAACGCTTAAGCTTTTGCTGTTGGGCACGCCCAGCGGGCCACGCCCTCATTTCGCCCCCTAGGCTTTCAGAGGTGGGTTTTTTTTTTTGTTTTGTTTTGTTTTTAATGTGGTGCAGCCTTGGCGAGGGCACAGCTCCTCGTCCTGCCCGATGGGCCGTAGAGGAATGCCTCCTCCTCCAGAGCAGAGAGCAGACATGGGCGGGCAGTTGCCAGGCTGGGAGCTGGGAGAACAGATGGCGGCTACACAGCCTCCTTCTAGCCCATTTTCCTGGCTGCTGGGGAAGGAGTCACAGGCAGCAAGCTTCCTGTGGAAACCACGCTCCCTATACCAGGCCATGTAGCCCTCTGTCCTCTTAAAGGGCTTTGGAGTAACACAGACCAGGCTCCAGTCCTGCCCTGGTTCACCCTCTGTGTGGCTCACCAAGCTGTGTAACTTGGGGCAGGATGAATATCCTGAGTGCTGGTACTAGAACTCTGATTCTCTAATCTCAGTTATAACCTCAAGTCTGCTTCTTAACTCCTAATCAAAAGACAACTAGCCTTACTTGATTAATCACAGCCTTAGGAAGAAACCCCTGGATAATTTTCGCAAACATCACGTCTCTCTTTTTTTTTTTTTTTTTTTTAAAGAGAAAAGAAGAGGAAGAAAGAGAAAGAGGAAGAGGGAGAGAGAATGGGGGTATTGCTTTGCTGCCCGGGCTAGAATGCAGTCTAAATATGGGTATGCCTATAATTGTCCTTAATAATGGAGACATGAAAGAAAATGAGGGAAGAGAATAACAAACAAGGAGCCAACCAACATTTCGTTTAAACTTCCAAGTTGATATGATGTGGTACTGATAAGAGTGTATACTTTGTGTAAAGTGGAGAGTTCTATAAATGTTAATTACGTTTACTTGTTCCAGATCTGAGTTCAAGTCCTGGATATCGTTGTTAATTTTCTGTCTCATTGATCTGTCTAATATTAATGTTGAAGTCTCCCACTATTATTGTGTGGGAGTCTAAGTCTCTTTATAAGTCTCGTATGTCTGGGTATTTCTGTATTGGGTGCGTGTGTATTTAGGACCTTTAACTCTTCTTGTTGCATTAATTCTTTTATCATTATATAATGTCCTTCTTTGCTTCTTTTGATCTTTGTTGCTTTAAATACTATTTTATCAGAGGCAAAAATTGTAACTTCTGCTTTTTTTTAATTTATTTTTGCTCTCAGGTTGATTGGTAAGTCTCTCTCCATCCTTTGTTTTGAGTCTTTGTATATCCTTGAATGTGAGATGGGTCTGGATGCAGCATACAGTTTTAGTTTTTTGTCCAAATTGGCTGTCTTTGAATTGAGGAATTTAGTCAATTTAAAATTTAGAATTGGATAATGATATATGTGAATTTAATACTGTCATTTAATATAGCTGGCTATTTTGCCCATTAGTTGATGTTAAATTCTTCATTATATTGATGTTTTTTACTTTTTGGTATTTTTTAGAAAGGCTGATACTGTTTGTTCCTTTCTATGTATAGTGGTTCTTTCAGAAGCTCTTGTAAAGCAGGCCTGGTGGTGATGAATTCTCTGAGTGCTTGCTTGTTCACAAAAAACTTTATTTTTCCTTCACTTATGAAGCTTAGTTTGGCTGGATGTAAAATTCTTGGTTGAAAGTTCTTTTCTTGACGGGCGCGGTGGCTCAAGCCTGTAATCCCAGCACTTTGGGAGGCCGAGGCGGGTGGATCACGAGGTCGAGAGATCGAGACCATCCTGGTCAACATGGTGAAACCCCCGTCTCTACTAAAAGCGCAAAAAATTAGCTGGGCATGGTGGCACGTGCCTTGTAATTCCCAGCTACTCAGGAGGCTGAGGCAGGAGAATTGCCCTGAGCCCAGGAGGCGGAGGTTGCGGTGAGCCGAGATCGCGCCATTGCACTCCAGCCTGGGTAACAAGGGCGAAACTCCGTGTCAAAAAAAAAAAAAAAAGAAAAAGAAAGTTCTTTTTCTTTAAGGATGTGAATATTGGTCCCCACTCTCTTCTGGCTTGTAGGGTTTCTGCTGAGAGATCTGCTGTGAGTCTGATAGGCTTCCCTTTGTGGGTAACCTGACCTTTCTCTCTGGCTGCCCTTAGGATTTTCTCCTTCATTTCAACCCTGGTGAATCTGACGATTATGTGCCTTGGAGTTGCTCTTCTTGAGGAATATCTTCGTGGTGTTCTCTGTAGTACCTGGAGTTGAATATTATCCTGCCTTACTACGGTTGGGAAAAATTTTCCTGAATAATATCCTGAAGCGTATTTTCCAGCTTGGATTCATTCTCTTCGTCACATTCAGGTACACCTATCAAGCGTAGATTAGGTCTTTTCACATAGTCCCATATTTCTTGGAGACTTTGCTCATTCATTTTTATCCTTTTTTCTCTAATCTTGTCTTCTTGTTTTATTTCATTGAGTTGGTCTTCGACCTCTGATATCCTTTCTTCTGCTTGATCAATTCGGCTGTTAAAACTTGTGCATACTTCACGTAGTTCTCGTATTGTGTTTTTCAGTTCCATCAATTCACTTATTTTCCTCTCTAAATTTTGTATTCTTGTTGACATTTCGTCAAACCTTTTTTCAAAGTTCTTAGTTTCTTTAGATTGTGTTAGCATAAGTTCTTTTAATTCACAGGAGTTTCTTATTATCCATGTTTTGAAGCCTGCTTCTGTAATTGGAACACACTCGTTCTCCATCAAGCCTTGTTTTGTTGCTGATGAGGAACTGGGATCCCCTGCTGAGGGAGAGGCGTTCTGATCTTGGGCATTCTCAGCCTTTTTTAGCTGTTTTCTTCCCTTCGTTGTAGATTTATCCATCTGTGGTCTTTATAATTACTGTCTTTGTAATTGGGTTTCTGAGTGGACGTCCAACTTATTGATTCTCAGCGCCGAAATCTGAGCAACCCACTGCGCCGACCAAATCGGCGGCGTTAAGATGGATGGTGCAGCCGGGCGCGGTGGCTCAAGCCTGTAATCCCAGCACTTTGGGAGGCCGAGGCGGGTGGATCACAAGGTCAAGAGATCGAGACCAGCCTGGTCAATATGGTGAAACTCCGTCTCTACTAAAAATAGAAAAAAAAATTAGCTGGGCATGGTGGCGCATGCCTGTAATCCCAGCTACTCAGGAGGCTGAGGCAGGAGAATTGCTTGAACCCAGGGGGCGGAGGTTGCGGTGAGCCGAGATCGCGCCATTGCACTCCAACCTGGGTAACAAGAGCGAAACTCTGTCTCACAAAAAAAAAAAAAAAAAAGATGGATGGTGCTTTTCTGACTCTGCACCAAGAACTGACGCTCCGAGGCGCCGGCAAAACCGCCTCGCCGGTCACAAGAGTCGCGCTGGCGACCCGTGGGGCTCCTCCGCTGGGAATCTCCTGGTGCGTGAGCAACAAGAATTCATGTGAAGGTGTGGCGTCCTCTCGTTCTTTGCGTTTTCAGTGGGAGCTACAATCCCGAGCTGCTAGTGATCAGCCATCTTGGATCTCTCTCGGTTTTTTCTTAATCTAATTATGTGGTTTGGTTTGGTTTTTTACTTGTTTAGAGACAGGGCCTAGTAAGCCTGTCCCACAGATGCCTTTAGGGTTGGGCCTGCCAGACCCTGCCTCCCACTTTAGATTCCTCAGGCCAGTGCTGTGTCCTCCTGAAACCCCTCTGATTAGGTCTGTGTGTCCCCCACCCACTAGACCAGGGTCCTGTCCCCTCTTAGATCTTCCAGGGCTCTCCCAGGACAGAACAAAGTGGGACACAGATCCTGGACTTCCTCCCTTGTCACCCCCTAACAAATCTGAACGCTCATTTTAGTTTCTTTATTTTGGTTTTTAGAGACAAGCTCTTGCTCTGTCACCCAGGCTGGACAGCATTGGGCAAAATCATGACTCGTTGCAGCCTCAAGCTTCTGAGCTCAAGAGATCCTCCTGCCTCAGTCTCCCGAGTAGCTGGTAACGACAGGCGTGCACGCTCGGTTGTTTGTATTGTACTTTAAAATTTTGTATTTGTATTTTGAGAAGGAGTCTCGCTCTGTCACCCAAGCCTGAGAGCAGTGGTGCGACCTCGACGCACTGCATCCTCCGCCTCCCGGGTTCAAGCGAGTCTCTGCCTCAGCTTCCCTAGTAGTTGGGATTACAGGTACGCGCCACCAGCTAATTTTTGTATTTTTAGTAGAGACGGGTTTCACCATGTTGGCCAGGCTGGTCTCGAACTCGTGACGTCAGGTGATCCACCTGCCTTGGCCTCCCAAAGTGCTGGGATTACAAGCGTGAGCCACCGTGGCCCACCCATTTTTAGGTTCTTTACCATATTCCCGATAGACCTCCAGGGGGCGCCACCGGACCATAGCAGGCTTTCTTACTGGTCCAGGGCTGTCTGCTTGGACAATTGCTAACAACGTGGTCTGTGAACCAACCTCATTTTCCTTTGCTGGAAAAAGGGGAGGTTATGAGATTTCAATGACATAATGGAGGCAAAGCATGCTATGCTTGGTAAAAGGTGAAAACTCAATAAATATAAATTATTATTTTTTGAGAGAGTCTCGCCCTGTTACCCAGGATGGAGTGCAGTAACACAATCTTGGCTCACTGCATCCTCCACCTCTCCGGTTAAAGCAATTCTCCTACCTCAGCCTCCCAAGTAGCTGGATCACAGCCATGTGCCACCACGCCTGGCTAATTTTTTTGTATTTTACTAGAGACGGGATTTCACCATGTTGACCAGGCTGGTCTTAAACTCCTGACCTCATGATCCACCCACCTCAGTGTCCCAAAGTACAGGGATTACAGGCATGAGCCACCAAGACTGGCTATATATTATTATTATTTTGAGATGGAATCTTGCTCTGTCGCCCAGGTTAGAGTGCAGTGGCATGATCTCAGCTCAC